AATTTTTATCGAACCTCTAGCAGCAGCATTTAGACAGGCTACAACAATTAAGGGCATAAAATGTAAGAACATAGAACATAAAATCAGTCTCTATGCGGATGATGTGTTGCTTTTTCTGCAAAACACACAAACCAACCTCTCTGAGGTAATTACTTTAATAAACTGGTTTCAAGAGTTTCAGATTATTCAATTAACTGGCCAAAATCTACAGTTCTCCCCATTAACTGCTCCTTCCATAATTCTTCCTCTGCCCCACTGCAATCCGGAAATATTAAATATTTAGGTATTAATGTCTCTCCTAAGCTTTCAGACTTAACTAAACTAAACCACATCCCACTTCTAAAGAAAGTAGAAGGCGATCTGACTAGATGGAAATCTTTACCCATATCACTCATGGAAGGGTCGCCACTATAAAAATGATGATCTTGCCAAAAATAAATTACTTATTTTGATGATCCCTAACAAACCATCACAAGATTGGTTCAGATCTCTGGATTCATATATTTCCAAATTCCTTTGGAAAGATAAACCCCCGCGTATTAGCTTAAAAACGCTACAAAGAACCAAGGATAGAGGAGGATTAGATCTGCCTAATTTTCACCAATACTTCTTAGCCAACAGGCTTCAATTCATCTCAGAATGGTTAAAACATACCTCTTAGTTGAGCCCTGGCTAGATGTTGAACAGCACTATGCAAGGATCTAGAGATTTCAGACCTACCATTTATTAGCTCAAACATCAAAAGACATGAATGCTTAAAAGTATCAACATCAGCTTTTCTCTAACAGCATGGTGGGAGTTTCTAAAAATAACGGAGTCTTCATTAATCCCATGCAAACGTACACCTATCTGGAATAACCCTGACATATTACAAAACAATAATATGATTAATTCCCAGAATGGAGTTGTAAAGGAATTAAATACTTAGAACATATATTAGAGGGAACAGAATTTATTCCATTTGACAGACTAGTTGAACAATATGGATCAACAAGACAAGGTTTTAGAATATCAACAAATTAAATCCATAGTAAAAAAGAAATTTAACCTCAGTCAAGTGGAATTACAAACACCACTAAGTGCGGCACATTTTCTTACTCTTAAATCCCCAAATATTATCTAAAATATACAGAACACTTTCTAAATTAGATGAATCAATATCCCTTCCTACTGCAAAGTGGGAAGCAGATTATCAGTCAACCTAGACCAAAACTTCTGGTCTCAGATTTGCTTAAAAACTTTTAAATTAATTAAAAATCCCAGTCTGCAATTAATACAATACAAAATACTTCATAGAGTGCACTATACAGGTCATCGGATGTTTAAGATGGGCTTTACATCTTCCAACAACTGCTCACACTGTCAAGGCAATACACCAGACAATTACATCCACGCTCTTTGGTTCTGTCCACCAGTGCAAAAGTTTTGGCGCGAGATATGTGAAGACTTATCAAAATGTCTGAAATGTAACATTCCAACTTCCCCCTTAGTGTGTTGTTGGCAGCTTAGATAATGTCACTTCAGAAAAGAATAGCCCATATGATCTTCACTGCCCTATGCATAGCCAAGAAAACAGTCCTCATGAACTGGAAAAATAAAAATAATCTTAATTCTAACCAATATAGAAATTATCTATTAGATTACATTAGTCTTGACACAGCCTCTGCCACCACATCAGATCAATTGCTCTGGGCCCCTTTTATCAGCTCCATCACCTAGTGGGGTGGGGGTCATAGTTTGGTCCCGCCTTCACTGTTGTGATTGGTGAGGGGGTAGGGACAGGCTTAGGGCGTCGGGGGTTCCCCGGAGGCATCTTCCTTGGGGGCTCAACCCGGGTAGCGGTCACGTCCGGTTGAGGCTCTGTTGGCTCTCAGGTGACTGTTTCCTCGCGGCTGCGTGCAGCGGGCTAGGGAGGGTCTGTGCTGACGGACGTGGGTTACTGACCTGGCAACCTGGCTGCCCCTGGTGGTCCGGGATGGGCGTGAGGTTCTGGGGTGCTCCGTCTCTGGGCGGGGCCCGGCCGGCCTCGGGGCTCGGGTCCTGGTTGGTGTGTTGCCGGGGTTGTGGCGGGTGGGTGCATGGGGGCCCGCCCTGGAGCAGGGTGCCGCCGGTGCATCGAGCCGCCTGGGGGCTCTTCAACTGGTGGGGGGATGGTCACATCTGGCAGGAGCTTTCTTCTCTCAGGAACTCTCTGCAGGAGGGGGAGATACAGGAGAGGTGGAGGAAGATCTCAGCCTGGGCGTTTACCGTCTTATGTAGTCTGGAAGATGTGTGGTTGGTGGGGTGGGTGCAGTTTTCTCTGTGGTGGGTTGGGTGGACTGTCCAGGGCTCTGTGGAGCCGGGGGCGCTACTGCACTGGCCCCGGTCTGATGGGCCTGGCCCCCTTCCCTGGCGGGTCGCGGAGGGTGGAGTGCCTACTGGGGTCAGCGGGGAGCTGGCCCCAGGGAGGGTTACCTGCCCTCCCTTCCTTCCCTCCCCATCTCCAGCTGCCTCCCTCTTCCCGCTCCTCCACAACCACCCACACATGCAGGGCCTTGGAGTGGGGTATGTCACCAGGGTGCAGAGGAGGCTACCCCCCCCCCTGTCCCTTCTGGCTGCCTCTGCCTCAATTTTATCCCACAACTTAGACATTCACATTATTCACACTCTCATTACACATACATATAGGATCTTGGGGGTGGGCACAATCACGGAGTCCAAATCACCATCAGGGTGTATACCTCACCCCTGACGTCGTTGCCCACCTCTCAATTTTAAATACACTTAGTCATTGAGGGCTAGCAGGAGGGACCATGCGCTTACCTGCTGCTCCTTGGCAGGTAGCTCCATGCCCTCCTGGGTTTTAATTGCACCTTAGAACACATATGCATCAACACTACAATGAGCGGGTGGAGGGAGGTTTGGAGTCTTCTCCCACCCCCATTCTCTGCGGCCTGCTGGAGCGGGGGGGCTAGTAGAGGAGTTGGCCGTCCGACTGCGGTCTGGGTGTGGGGCCTCCCTGCTGCTGCGGATCGGGTGGTCTGCCTCTCCCCACCGCAGGGAAAAGGGTAACACCACCTGGGTCTGGGTGCAATTCCCCCCTCCAGGGCAAGGTACCTAGACCCGGTTTGTAGAGTACGCTTGGGGTCTGTGATTGTGTGTACAGCGTCTCTTTATGTCTGTCTCCACGTTGGTTGAGTGTGGAGTGAGTGCATATGAGAGCATGAGGGTGGGAATGGATGTTTGTGTCTGTGTGTGCCTGTATGTCTGTGTCTATATGTCAGGTTGGGTATCAGACGCCACCTCTCTGGGGACACCTCAGGCCCTCCAAGGTTTGGAGGCCTATCTCCACCCACCACCACTTCCCCTGCCGGTGGCGGACTCCCTCAGGTGTCGGTGTGTTGGTGGTTCTTTGTGTCTGGGGGTGGGCGTCCGGGTACACACCGGCTCACTCCTTGGCGGCCGCTTGTCGGGGCCTGGGGCCTGGGGCTCGCTCGGGCCCCTTTGGAGGTGGGGTGCCCCCGGCCTCTCGGCCTAGGGCTCGGTCACTCAGGCGCAGCTGGGGGCCGGCGGAGCTCACGGGCGCGTCACTGCAACCCCCCCTGGCTTCTGCTCCGCGGCTGCTGAGTGAGCCCTCATCTGGGACTCTCCTCAGCTCTTACTGGAACAGTGGCGCGGCTGCCCCTCTGTTGGTCTTCCATGGTCTCTTGTGTTCTGGGGGCCTCTGGATGTCTGGAGTTTTGATCTCCTCCATACCGCTTCACACCCTGGAGGATGGGGCTGTGGCCCCCCACACTCCCTAGCAGATCATTACATGGAGAAACCTTTGGAATGCAAGCATGCTGATCCACACAGGTATGCACACATGGGTATTCACAGACGCGGACTAAAGCTTTCTTGGCTGCTGCCTCAAAGCACACTGTGCGCTGTCTATCTTGCGTGCTGCACAATATCGTTTATTACTTAGTAAATACTGATATCTATGACTAGCTAGTTTATTGTGATGGTGCTTTGTTTTCTCTATTATTATGTTGCTCTTTGTTGTTTGCTGTCTCCTCTGTTTGTTTGTTTGTTTGTTTGTTTGTTTTTTCTCCATACAGGTGACCCAGGAGTTTTTTTTTTTTTTTTGTCTCTCTTCCCCCCCTTCTCACCGTCTCTTCTCCCCTTGGGTTTCTTTCTTTCTCTCCCCTCTCTCTCTCATTCATTCCCCTGTCCTATTTATTAAAAAAAAAAAAAAAAAAAATGACAAAGGATGAACTGAAGCTCTGCCATCACGTAATGTCGCATACTGCTGTTTCTGATGTCATTTAAAAAAAAAAAAAAAAAAAAAAAAAGGTGGTATTTTAAGGTCGAATTTGAACGTTGAAATTGAAACTCTTTACTACAGTGAGTGCAAATTACAACGCGTTTGTTTATTGTCCCATCTATGTTCTTCTTGTATTTAAATTCCCCATCCAGAAGGCCATCCTGTTCCTGCTTCTCCATTTTCAGTGGCGCGGTAAACAAATCAAGTGGAATTATGGGAGCGACTTATCTGCGTGTTGCGCTAAATAGTTAAATATTCTAACGTAATTAATTCCAAAATTTAATTATCGCAATTAACGCGTTAATTTCGACAGCTATATTTAAAATATACGCCGTTCATTAGCTGACCTTAATCTTACAGAGAATGATCAAAGCTCACGTAGAAACAAACAAACAAATGAACAAAATATGTTCTCCTTCATTTCTGTCAAACAATGCTGTATGAAACGTTTCCAGCTGTTAGTATCATGGTTGCTAGGCAACCTGGGCAGCGCGACGGAGGCTAGACCGTCCCATTTCAGAAACCTCGCACTTCCGGCCTTAGCGGTCTTTGAGTACGCGGCCCTTGTGGACCGTTAAGGCTGCGTACTTTAAGGCTGCAGACCCTGAAGTGGGATACAGCCTGTGTGTATTTAAGTCACATCTGTTACGACCGAGAGGGCCAGGCAGTGGTTGTGGACTCAAATGCAGACACAGAGGGAGGCAAAACGGGCGTGAGCACAAAGTTTATTTACAGAGCTAAGCGAAGTTACAAAACAGAAAACTAAGAATGCTATAACCTATGCATGCTATGAACTGTGAAAGCTATGAGCGGAAAACTGTGAGGCAAAACTGTGAACGAGAAACTCTGAGGGCTGGATTCCACAGAGGGATCCGGGGAATGGAGAAAGGGGGCAGCGGCTTGGAGGGAGGTGTGAAGTCACTATGATGAGAGGAGGAAAGTAGTCAGTGGTAGTCTCAATGAATCACAGCTGGAGGATTAGGCTATGGTGGTTTGGGCTTACGCGTTGCAGATTTGAAGTGTCAATCGAGGAGGGAGTGTCCAGGGGGTTCCGGGTGAGGAGTGTCCAAAGCAGATCCAGAATAGGCTTGGAGTGGGGAGCTGAGCAGGGAGGCAGGCAGATGGGTCCTATGGCGAAAAAGGAAAGAAAACGTAGGAGGAGAAAAAACAGTACTCCAGAGTTCTCGCAAGGGCTTGGCGGCCTAGCACTAACATGTGTTAGCAGAAGATCTGGCAGGGGTCTGTCGTGAACGCTGGTCTTATATGCAGGTGACTTGATTGGAACCAGGTGTGGAAGCTGATTGGAGTCTCCGTCTGAAGGTGGAGCCCAGCAGAGTGGAAACACCCCGTATTCACCCGGACCATGACAACATCTACTCGTTTGCTAGTTGCTGGTTGGTCTGTAAATCTCCTGTTTCATCCTTGTGTTCTCCCTGCGATTTACCTCCATGTGCCTCTGCTCACCCACCTTCATGTTTAGTAGTTTTGTTGTTCCCAGTTCAGATTATCTTTAGTTCTGTTTGCCATTTCCACCTTGTGTTTTATTTTTACAATAAATCTCCTTCGTACCTCCACGAGTGCCTGCGCTTGGATCCTCCTTTATTTTCTCCACACAACTCATCCCATTCGCTGTAACAATCACAAAGTTTAACCAGGTGTTTATCTTAGCAGATCTGAGAGCTGTGAAGAAACCACAGCAGCCAATTAGACTGAGTAATTGTCTGAGAGCTGGATCACATTCAAAGTCACCAGCTGTGATACAAGAGGCCGACCTCGACCTGCAGCTGCCACTTAGTGCCACTGAGATCTGGTGTTGGCCAGAGGGGCCGATGGCGCGATATGGCAGCCTCGCTTCTGTCAGTCTGCCCCAGGGCAGCTGTGGCTACAACTGTAGTTTGCCTCCACCAGTGTGTGAATGTGAGAGTGAATGAATAGTGGCATTGTAAAGCGCTTTGGGTGCCTTGAAAAGCGCTATATAAATCCAATCCATTATTATTATTATTAGTGTAAATTGATGTCTGTACCGTCTTTCACTCAGTAACGATCTCTGTGATGAGGTGACTCGCACCTTCATCAGTTCCATTAGGCTTGATTTAAAGTGTAAGTTCATTGTGGATTCAAATCTGAGTTCTCATGCCTTAAAAGCGCTTTTAGTAACTTCAGAAAAGTGTGTGAGCTAACATCGTCTGAAAACATGAGGCACAAAAACTGTCCTGCTCTGCTCTGCATGTTCTGTATGTACCAGAGCATCAGTGGATGTGTTGAAACTCCAAATGTCAGATACATGCTGTGCAGTTCAGCACTGAAGCACATGGGGCATAAACAACTCATCCTTTGGATTTTAGTGTAAGATTCACATAGGAAACAGTACACAGGCTGTTACATCAGAATCTGTTCACACATTGGAGAAGAAAAAAGTACCTAATACACATTTAGACTTCCTGTCACACAAAGCTGAAAAAGCCTAAAAAATACTATTTTTATCATATTTTGTTGTATTTCTATGACCGAGTTTGTACTAAGTACCATAACAAATAAAGAATCTAATAACTGCCAGCTCCTTAAATAAGGAGAGGTCATTTGATTGATGGAGGAACAAAAACAAACACAACAAAGAATCATTTCCGCAAGGAAGTCGGTTTGTTGAGGTTTTAGGCTTAAAGGGGTGAATATTTTACCTCACTCAGGTTTCCTGTCGCTGGCGTTTTGTTAGAAGCCGGTGATGCGAGATAAATCCAGACCACTGTTTTATATGCAGTAGAGTTTCTGGTCTGTCTGTTTAAGTCAGCAGGCCTCCTAAAGAGATGTGACAAGCCTCTCAGATAAAAAGAAGACGATGTGACACACAGAGCTCTTTAGATAAAATCATGTCTGAGAGCAGCAGAAGACGGTCAGGTCTGTCCCACAAATACACTGCAGGAGCAACATGTCTGCTCACGCTGAGCGCCTCCATCACTCAACACATCTGACCGCTTTAATGTCACTCCAACGTTTAGCAGTGTTCCTACAACAACACTTTCATGAGGTTTTTTTTTTCAAATCTGATAAATTTGTAGGTGTACATATTCATTATTAATACTTACACATGGAGTTCGTCTTGTTCATAGACCAAGTACAGGAAACTGGACAAGTGAAGAAGAACAGTGTGATGCCTAAAAAAACAGGTATGGCAGATGAATAGTATTTCAGAGCCATGTTCTTAAGAAACAGGAATAAATCCAGCAAAGACCTGACAGATGTATGAAAATGACACAAGAACTGAACTGACGATCAGAGGCGCATCTCTGATGGAGAGATGGATTTACACTGTGGATGTCAGGAGGAGGTCCAACAGCTGCATTTCAGGCAGTCGTGTATGAGATCTGAGATAAAACTGGTGAATTATGAGACCAGAAAAGTACCATCAGAGTTTGATCCACCATGCAGTAACATCTGGAAACATCTGATTGGCAGCAGCTCCCTTTTTCAGCATGACAATGATCCCAAACAGACTGCCAATGGAGTAAAAACATACCTAGATAGAAACACATAGAGGGACACTATCAGTTATGGATCGGCTGCCCCAGAAACCTGACCTCAGCATTAATGAAGCAGTGTGGGATCATCCTGACGGAGACCACAAAAAAAGGCAGAAACATCCACAGAAGAGCTTTGAATGTCCTTCAAGAAGCCTGGAGAACTATTCCTGAAGATCCTTACAGAGATGACAGAGAGCCGTCATCTCTGCGTGTCATCTCTTCAACCTTTAGCTCAGAGAGGTCAGACTGAGCTAAAGAATGAAGGTGTTTGCGCCAAATGTTCATTTTCAAGCTTGTTGGAATAGTAAAATGTTTTGCCTTATATGCTGTATTTAAATACATGTTTGCACATGTTTCTAATTTTCCTCTAAAATTTAAAGAAGAGAGGAATGGCTCAAGACATTTGCACAGTACTGCATGTTTTATATGTCCTATCAGGAAATACTTTTTGTTTGTCCCTCTGGTCTTTAGGGATATCAGCAAAGCTAATGGAAATGTTAGCCACATTAGCTGGACAACATGCTAATGCCAAAGATTCTCTAGTTGAGAGGACCAAAAATAAATGTAATCCACGATGTCTTCAGATCCTGAGAGTGCACGTGTTTCCTCTGCAGCCATCAGTGCTTCATTTGGTGCACTTTGCTGGCAGCTGAGATATTTTTGTGTTTGAGTTTCAGCAAAAGTGGCTGTTTGTTCCATGTTTGAGAGTGTGCCAAATGAGCTGCCAGGCAGGCATTATGTAAGACATGTAACATGGTGACATAGATAAGTAACAGAAAACTCTGCATGCCAACAAGGCGTTTCAGGGATTTCAAACACAGACAGAATATGTAGAACAGCAAATGAGAAGAAAAACCTCAAAAACCTAACTTTAAACTCTCCAAAGCTCATATTTAACAAGCCGTTCATGACTTTTACTTTATTATAATGTTAGCTGCACAGATAAATTAAAATATAAAAGTACAAATAAACCTTGCACAGTTTAGAGTACTCATCTGTGTTTCCATTGTGTCACATTATTCTAATCTTGGACTGTTGGGTCCACATGTGGCCATGTCTGCAGTTTTCTTTGGACAACTCAGCTGCAGGCCCACCTGATATGGGCCAGATATCAGGTGTGCAGGACCATGAAAACCAGAGCCTGAACTGAGCCAAGCGCAGGCCCAATTGGGCCCAAATGTGTCTGCTATGTGTGAGTCATACTAATGAAATCAAACTGCAAATGACAATTTTAGAAATCTTTCTCTAAATTTGATAAGAGCCGTCATTCCACTTCAGACTCTCAGGACCGAGACACCAAATACTGAACATTAACCATAACATCTGATAAGACGTTGAAGTGCAGAGAGTCACTGCTCTGCCGAGGAGCAGCTGCTCTGCCTCCATCGCTGGCAATATTCGGTGATCAGTGTTTGGTGGCGTGACAGCGGGAGGCTTTTCAGCATCCGTCATCTGAGCTGCTGCATTGTTGTCCCCGCGGAGAGGAGCGGGAGGAATGCTCAGTTGGTGGTGTGGAGGAGGGAGGGTCAGAGAGAAGGGGGGTCTATACTTAGAGGACTGACTGCATGTTGCACCTGTCCTCCACTCATCATCATGCAGCTCACGCTTCGAAGGACGACGCTACACCCGCGAGCTGGTTTTGTCCACAAATTCTGAAATGAAGCAGAAACGATGCAAAGACACAACCCCAGCCCCTACACGCCAAAGAACTGTGATTTATGCCGCCACATGTTCTGCTGAGAGGAAACAGATTCAAGTTCGCATCAGTCAATAAAACCAAAACAGAAACACAGGCCAGGCGTGACACCACGGTAGCCCTTCATCTACTTCCAGAGCTTATTAGAAACAAAAAGAATAAATGATTAGACAGTTTGTATTTAACTCATAAGCTCTATATAAAAGTGAAGTTAGAACAGACGGGTCTTAAAAAGACTCTTCTTGTTCCTCAGTTTGTGTGGGGCTCTCTCAAATAATGTCAACCACCAGTTACTATGGAAAAATATGGATTCTTCGACCCGCTGACCAATGTTGCTGGGTGTCTGTCAGGGTTCCTGGGTCGTTGACCCAGTGATTTCAGTTTGTTCATGTTCAGTTTAGTTCGCCACATTAATGTTCTCACTTCCTGTTTTTTCCCCGTGTCAGCTTGTCTCCCGCGTCATTAGTCAGATTATGTTCAGCCCTGTACTCACCTGTTTCCAATCATTGTCATCATTCAACCTGTGTATTTAAGTTCCTCGGTTTCACCAGTTCTCTGTCGTGTCATTGATGTGATGTCCTTCCCGTGCGTTTCCTCAGTTCAGTCAGCCATTCAGTTTTCCAGCCAGTCAGTGTCCGTTTACCTTCTGTTCATCCACTCCTTATAATAAATCCTCACCAGTCTTCACCCACCTGCGAGTCCTGCGTTTGGGTTCCTTCTTCCTCTCGTCCACGACACAACTCCTGACAGAATGACACGACCCGTGCCACGAAGACACGCTTGGAACCCAGCGGACTCGGACCTCTACGAGCGGCAGGAGGTAGCGCTCTCCATTTGGGCGGAGAAGCTCAGGGGGAAACAGCGGCTCTTCTCAGAGAGGGAGCACGTCTTTGAGGGGACTCGCCTGGCTCTGGGCGGGCCTCGGAGACGCCGCGGTCCTCCACCTGCTGCCTCACCTGCAGCGGAGCATTCGCCGCGGAGAGTGGGCGTCACAGGCCAAGCTTCGGCCGCTCGCTCTCCCGCTGCTCTGCTCCTCGCTCGCCCGCCAGCCGTTTCACTTACCGGACCTTCAACCTCGCCATGGCACAGCGGCTCCGCCTACCACCTCGGCTCAATGGAGGCTCCCGTGCCAGAGGCTCGGCTGTGTACCCCGCCTGCTGCCTCTTCCCGGAGAAAGCGGCGCACACGCCGCCATAAAACGGACTACTTTCAGCCACTCCCGATGGTGAGCTCCAGTGACTGTTTTTTGCACTCACCATCTGATTACTCACTTGAAACGCACTACAGACCCACTTCTGATTCATGGGGAGTCTCCCTCCTAGACGAGGACGTGGACTGGGAAGAGTTTTTCTGCTCTTCTCCAAAGACTGTAAATAGTGATGGCAGAAAAACCAGAACAACCTCCAATAAACCTGCCAGTAACACACACACCGCCACTATTTCCACACCCATTATTCAGCCATTTCCCACCAGCACGGGGGCCCAGCCTACGCCCACACCAGTGCCAGCCCCCAGGAGGAGGGCAGCTGTGACCTGGTCTACCTCCACACCTGCTTCTGTTTCTCAGGTGGGGGTGACTGGTGTCCAGCCACCTTCCGTGCCCGTCCCACCGCCCAGGCTGAGGGCAACCAGAACCCAGCTTGACCCCCCTGGAGGCTTGGAAGAGCTAACCGGTCCACCTGCTACTTCACCTCTTCATCCACCTCCTGATCCAGCTTTTCATGCCCTCGCACTATCACTGGTTAGGCTAGCTGAGGTGTCCCCTGCTCAGGCCCCAGCTTTATTAGCCCAGGCTGCACTGTTGTCCCCTTCACTAGCTCACTCTTTAGCTCAGCCATTAGCCTCACCGACCTCTGTTTATCCATTAGTCTCCTCAGTCCAGTCAGTTCCCTCACCTGCTGTTCAGCTTTCACTCCAGTCAGTTCCCTCACCTGCTGTTCAGCTTTCACTCCAGTCAGTTCCCTCACCTGCTGTTCAGCTTTCACTCCAGTCAGTTCCCTCACCTGCTGTTCAGTCTCCACCTGTCCTCCAGCCACCTGTAGCTCAGTCTCCACCTGTCCTCCAGCCACCTGTAGCTCAGTCTCCACCTGTCCTCCAGCCACCTGTAGCTCAGTCTCCACCTGTCCTCCAGCCACCTGTAGCTCAGTCTCCACCTGTCCAGCCTGCTCCTGTCCCCCGGTCGCCCGTCCTCCAGCCTGCTCCTGTCCCCCGGTCGCCCGTCCTCCAGCCAGTCCAGTCTGCCGCCCAGTGCCCTGTAGTCCAGTCGCCTCCTGTTTCCCAGTCGCCTGTCCACCATCCCGTTCAGTTCCCGGACCTGCAGCCACAGCACCCAGAGCCAGCTGTGAGCTCTCCTGCTCCTCAGCCAGGGGCGTCCGCGCCCGCTGGCCCGGCCTGTCTCTAGCCAGGGGCGCCCGCTGGCCCGGCCTGTCTCTAGCCAGGGGCGCCCGCTGGCCCGGCCTGTCTCTAGCCAGGGGCGCCCGCTGGCCCGGCCTGTCTCTAGCCAGGGGCGCCCGCTGGCCCGGCCTGTCTCTAGCCAGGGGCGCCCGCTGCAGCTCCGGCCTGTGCTTCTGTTTCGCCTGCTGCAGCTCCGGCCTGTGCTTCGCCTGGTCCGGCCCCGTCGTCGTCTGGTCCTGTGCCCGCCGGGCCGTGGCCAGCACGCCTGGCACTGGAGAACCGCCGCTGCCTTCCGCGCGGTCGGCCCCCTGAACTGCTCCGTCTCCTTCGCTGCCGCCGTTGCCTTCCGCGCGGACCGCCTCTGCCTGAGTGGCCGCCGTTGCCTTCCGCGCGGCCGGCCCCCAGACCAGCGCTGTCATCGCCGCCGTTGCCTTCCGCACGGTCGGCCCCCTGAACTATTTCGTCTCGGCCGCGGACCACGTGGCCGCCCACCGGAACAGTCTCACCTCGACCGCCGCAGCCGCCCACCGGACCGGCTTAGTGGT